AGATCCTTCTTCAGTTAGTTTGTTAGTTGTTTGGTTCTAGATCCTTCTATTTGTTATGTAGTTAGGTTGTTAGTTTTTCTCTATAAATAGATTAATATGCAATGTAATTTCTTAAGTTGAATGAATGTAATTTTCATCTTCTTCCCTGCCATTCCAGCATGTTCTATCCATTTTATTTTTCAGTTTCTTCTTTTAATTTCTAATAACATTGTTCATTATTGACTAGTCTAGTTGGTCTAAACAAACTCACTTCTTAATCTAAGAAACTAATTGAATTAATTGTGAGCAGACATCTGAAAGGAAATCTCATGATTATCTTGATAATTGTTAACTGATCAAGAAATTGATTTGATTGTGAAATTTACCCAAAAATATGATGATTGATTCAATTTTGTAAATTTCACTATTTTTGTGTGATTGACATGTGTGGGTTCTTTCACAGATTTTCTGATCAACAGTCTAAATTTGATAGTAAACTCTAGTATCTACTACAGAAAGGAAAAATTGAACAAAAATTTTTAGAAACAAAATCTAGGTCGAATATAAGGAGCCATTTCAACCTTATTTGGTGTTAAAAATAGAGCTCATTGCATTTGATCTAGAATTTTTTCTAGTTTCAAACTGTTTTGCAGGTTATAAATGGCTAGTGTACACAAGGGATGGCTGATTAATTGAAGAACCAGCCAGTTCTACTCTTGGAGCACAGAAAGGTCAAGGTTCTGACCTCATATCACGTTAGACTATAGTAACTGCTCTTGCTCATGCTAAGAAGTCCAAGAAACCTACCCCTTGACTGATTTTAACTATTTGTCCTAACTTTTTGAGTCTTAACTATGGTTGATCCTTTATTTCAAAAAAGGGGGAGTATAGGTTCGATGGGTTAAAATTGGCGTTGTTATTAACTGGTTTCATGGATTTATGTGCTTTCATGTCCTTGTATATGTCACTCACGTTTTCTCCTCATTTTTAACGTGTTAGGCTATTTTAGTTAGGGGGAGCATGCGTTTGGGTAATAGAATGTGAATAACTATTTTTCAATGGCTATGCTAACTGAGGGAGAATAGATCATATGGAATACATGATCACAGTTATCACACATATGACATTAAAAATCTAGTATTAGTTTTTAAAATTGAGTAAAGCTGAAGGGGGAGATTGTTGGAAAAATGTCTCATATTTTATATATTAATTTATTGGCTTATTAATGTATGTATTGATTTTTAAATATCAAGAAAACTGCCAAAAATGTGAAAGAAGGTATAGGTCATTCCCGATTGTCTGAAATGGTAAGCATATCCGCCCATAATATTTGAGCTGCGAATTTTAGGGTGCGTTTGATTGCAAGGGTGAAAAATGGGTGGAAAGAAAATGTTTTACAGGGAAAAGATTTGCCTAGAAAATATTTTCCAGAGAAAATGATTTCAAGTGCGTTTGATTGGTATAATTTTCCACTCGAAAAATTTTTAAATTTTCTATTCGTTTGGCTTTGTTTTACACGGAAATTGTCCATTAAAGTGATATTTTTTTTCCACAATTAATTATAAAATTTGTTTCCTTTGCCAAAAAGTTTTAAAAAAAAAAAAACTAATTTTTTTTTTCATCCAAGTTTAGTTTTCATTTGACTTTGTTTTACATGAAAATTGTTCATTAAAATGAATTTTTTTTTTGTACAATTTGTTATGAAACTTATTTCTATTGCCACAAAAAAAAAAAAAAAAGATGTGGGAATTGAAATTCAACTAAAACCAAGAAAAGGTGGCAAAGGTGTTAAATTATTCTTGGGAAAAAAGTGTCATTAAACATGGCAAAAGTGGGAAATGGAATTTCAAATCCATTTTCCATGGAAAAAAGAGGCCTATCACCCCTAGATTAAAATCTGATTTTAATCCGAACCAAATCGGGCCTTAAAAATATAAGTTTGTAATATATCGTCCCCTCTTGTGATGAGTGTTGATAACTTGATTTTGTACTGTATTCTCTTGCCATGATCTTTTATGGAGCAAGTATGACGAGATTATGTTTCTAGAACAAATGGACGTCATCTACATATATTACCCGTGCTTCTTATTGCACGTCTTAGTTTCATTAGCAATTCCAACATGTACAAGAATGCTTATTTGTTCACAAGTTTTCTTTTGTTTATTCAATTATGTTATTTTATTCCAAGGGATCTGGAGAAGTAGAGAAATATGCTGTTAGCCGATTCTTCTCGTTCTTTTCTAATCTTTTTACTCCTTTTCAGGATGATACTGCATTTGAAAAGCAGAGTGCCCTGTTTGCCCTAGCTGTTTCGGATATAGTGCTAATAAACATGTAAGATCGTTGAATTGCATTAAAAATGATTTGATATCATTTAACACTTCAGTTGAGTTATTTGCGTTTGTTATAGAGTTATAGTAGATATAAGATGAAACCACATCACAGGACTGTATGTTTGAAAGACTGAAAGAGTGATTGTTATAGGTATTGTGTGATTTATTGATAAGGAAGGATTTGAAGAGAATGTAACGCATCATATTAGTGTTAGTTGGATGGAATAGTATACTATGTAATTGGCCTTGAGATTATTGTTTATTTGAGATTGCCAAGTCATTTTTATTACTTGGAAATATTTCAGGTGGTGTCATGACATTGGCCGTGAGCAGGCTGCAAATAAGCCTCTCTTAAAAACTGTATTCCAGGTAACTCTTGCACCCTTCTGTGTTCTAGCATATAATTTGGATTGCAAATTCTTTGCTGATTTATAATTATGATGATCAGGTCATGATGAGATTATTTAGTCCACGCAAAACAACTTTAATGTTTGTTATACGTGATAAAACAAGGGTACGCTTAACCTATTCTTTTCTCATTTGATATTGCCATTAATTGTACTTCAGAAACTTAAATTCTTAGATCATATGGTTCCATGAATTAAGGATTTGATATGCTGGAGCATTTTTTTTTGACATGTTATAGACGCCTTTGGAAAACCTGGAACCTGTTTTAAGAGAAGACATTCAGAAGGTACATCTTATGTGATATTTTACTGTATAATGAATGAGCCCATCAGTTGTTGGTCTAAGCTTCTCTCTTTCCTCCTTCCCCTACCCCTGCTTTTGAAGATATGGGATGCAGTTCCTAAGCCAAGTGCGCACACGGAAACTCCATTAAGCGAATTCTTTAATGTAAGATGCATGTATCTTTTTGATTAAGCTCGGTTAAGAGTATGTTTGGCTAAGCTTAACAGGTGCTTAAAAGCACCTTTTTTGAGAGAGTCTCTCTAGGTACTTTCGAAAAAAGGTGCTTCCTCGTAAGCGTAGTCCAACATGCTCTGTCTGTGTTAGGTTTTATATGATACTTTTTAATATGGATGATTGCAGGTCGAAGTTACAGCTCTTTCTAGTTATGAAGAGAGGGAAGAACAATTCAAAGAGCAGGTTAATACAATATTTGAATTGTTTCGAGTCATTTTAGTGTTTGTTCTTGTGAATGCTCTTGCTTTGTTCTTTGCCATTTGTACCTTCAGTCGTTGTTTTTAGAAGGATGCTCTTGAGATTTTTAGGGGTCTAAGAATTTTTTACTCGTTTGTCTTTTAATCAAGGTGGCGAGCCTAAGACAGAGATTCTTTCATTCTATTGCTCCTGGTGGCCTTGCTGGGGATAGGCGAGCTGTAGTTCCTGCTTCTGGCTTTTCATTTAGTGCGCAACAAATTTGGAAGATCATATTTTCTTCTTTTATTGCAAACGAGATAGCTTTTCTTGTAAACATATTTTTGAAGGTTTTGCTTGATTCATTATATTTTGCTTTATTTTATCTGCACGCACAACGTCCAACCTAAATGCTTGAATAATGAATCAATTGATGGAACACACTTCGTTAGAATAGCAAGACACTTATTTCTTTATTCCGTTTTCACTTTTTAGATTAAA